TAAATGCAAAAAGAAAAGAATGTCTTAACCTCCTATTTGAGATGAGGAAACACCTGATCTGGGACAAAATTGTGACTCTTCTAATCTCAGTCCCCTTGTGGGTAAAGTGCTCTGCACACCTTCAGGAATCACGGCATGTATATGCTAAGTTGGCTTGTATAACATTTATCACATGTTAGGTGGCCTACAGTACCCTTTTTCTTACATATTTATGACTAGAACTAGCCTTCTAAGTATGTTTTTTTCTCAAAAATCAGAGCAGAAAACATGTTTACTAATAAGTCTTTTACTAAACTTTTAAAATGATTAAGATGGGAAGGCATCCATTCTTCAGATATGTGCTAAGAACTTACTGGTGCAGACACAGGATAGATATGGAAATAGAGAGGATCCCTGGTATACAGAAAAACTGCTGATTTCATCATGTGATTCTAGTGTGAAGAGAAATAAGACACCCAGTTCTGATATGAAAAGCCCTAAGTACCTCAAGAGAGGGACAAAGTGGTTTTTCCATTGAAAAAAGAGAAACTGCTTCTGGTTAAGGGAGATGGAGGAAGTTTTCATGACATGAGTTTGAGCACATGAGTAAGACAAGAACGATGCCTGATTTGACTGGCATGTAGAACCAGTTGATGGCAGTAGCCATGTTTAAAACTTTCTTTAGTTTTTATACCAATGTTACTTAGGTGTAGTAACATACCCACTTTTAACAGATGAGGAAACTGAGACCAGATGGGTTAAGTGACTTGTCCAAGAACATTTATCTAAGCTAAACTAGCATGATATTCATATGGAAACGGGGCTGGATCTTCAAAAAGTAACTGCAAATTAAATTTAGAACAGAGGGAGGAAATTTGACGGCTAAGCTAAAGACTTTGAATCATGTGCTACAGTTCAAGTATTGGTAATTATAGTCTACGAGCCACATCTGATTTACTTCTAGTGCTTGTGAATAAAGAGTATTACTAAGGCATAGCATTGCCTTAGCCTCCCCCTCCACACCCCATGTGTGTTATTATTGCACTACAATAACAGTTGAGCATCTGCCACAACATACAGTCCCACAGCCTGAAATAGTTACTCTCTGGCCCTTGATGGAAAATATTTGCTGACCTCTGTTCTAGCTGACTGGGGATCTTCTGAGACAAGTGTTGGAGAAAAGAAGCCATATTCTTAGAGTCATGCATTACTAATGGGGGCCATCAGAATCTGTGGGGCAGCTTGAAAGGATTATTTTAACACTGCTTCAGTTGTCTGGGCTCTCATCCCTCCCATCTAGTCCCCCACAGTAGCCCTACCCCCAGTCTCCTGGCCAGAACTTTAAGACTTTCCGACAGTCCAGGCTGGTAACAAGAGCAGGTGAGATGTGCTAAGTGCTAGAAAACCAAACGGTACAAGGAAGTTGGCGAACGGCAGTGGGCAGCTGCCGGCTTCTGGCTGAGAATGTGATGGGGCGCTGGGAAGTGCCACAAACTGAGTTGGTCCTGCTGCACATGATATTCACTGCATGGTACTGGCACACTCAAAGCTTTTGGACTTCATTGTTGAGGATATACAGAAACTGGTGAGAATTTGCCAGTTCGCTTTGTGCAAGATCCATCTTGAACACTGAGGATGGGGTAGCCACCTACAATTTAAGGAACTCCTGCATATTGTCCTCATCACTGTTCCTTTTTTTCTTCATTTATTTTCAATTTGCATGTGTGCTTTATGTGAGTGTATATATACATGCATGGGTGAGTGTGCGCATGTGTGAATGTGGAGGCCATGGGTCTGAGTCCAGTGTGCTTTCTCAATCGTTCATTCTCCACCTTAGTCTTCAAGACAAGGTCTTTCACTCACCAGTTGGCTACACTGCCTGCCCATTGATGTCCAGGGATCCTCCTGTCTCTGTCCCCATCCCAGCATTACAGTGACAGGCATTTGTTACCACTACTGCCTATGTGTGGGTGCTGGGAACCCAAACTTAGGTACCCATGCTTGGAGGCATCTTACCAGTTATGCCATCTCCAAAGTCCTTCATCACCATTCTTAATAACTGAATTCCATTAGGCTGATTGTAATAATTCATTATCTATTATCTATTAGTCACTTGTTACATGTCAGGTACAGTGCAAATACTGAGGATAGAGACAATGAAATTGTATCCCCCACTTTGGAGAAGCTCCAATCTGCTGTGATAGGAAGTATTTAAAAGTGACCACAACATAGTAAGATATATGAACCTTAGAATCAGTTGCCAGAAGAGAGGACAGAATCCACTCTATCCAACTAATCGTTCATTTATGCAACTGGCCCCTAGGAGAATGTTACAATGTGGATAGGATTGTGGGTTAGTTTCCAATCCCTCGTGATTTCTCAACCTACACAGAAACTACCCCAGCTCCAATTCTTGAGTATCCAGAGGACCCAGAGAGTGGCCACAGAGCCCGCGAGACACTCAGGAAATGGGAGGGTGGCTCTAAGTGAAAGTCAGGCAGCAGGCCAGCTCCAAACTCAGGGACCAGAAGTGATAGGTAGAAAGGAACTATTATAACAAAAGAAGAGCCAAAAATGTTCCCTTCAAGTTAGTGACTGTGAGATAGATAATAATTACTCTTTGAACAGAATCCTAGCTGGAAAAACTCCAGAAAGAACACGCTGAGGGTTCATTTGCATCCCCATCATCTACATTGGGAAACCTCTCTTAATGGATGTTCACCAGTGTAGTCTGACCTAGATTGGGTCCACTTAACGCATTCTGTTCTTGGCTGGATATAGTCACAATTGTTGCCTCAAATGGAAAGCTTTAGTGGGCAGACCTATCACAGATGTCTGTCGCCAGCTTTGCAAATGTATTTCTTCTTGGAGTCTATAAAACATTACTCCTCTTTGTTTCATTTTTATTTACTTTGTGGTGCATGGGTTAGCATGTTGAGCTCATTGGAATTACATTCTACACATGGGCAGGAAGACTGGATTAGTGAATATACGTTCCCAACAGTTGTGTCAAGTCCTCCAAGAGTCAAGCCACTTAGCCATTTGTGGATGATAACAAGTACACAGTTAATATAAAGTGAAGGATTTTTTTTTAATTTGAAACCCTGAAGGAAAAAAAAAAAGCAAAAATTCTAAATGTCTGTGAATTGGTCAATTTTTAAATAGTTATTTTTTTTACAGTTTTGAGGAAACTTTGAAAGTAAAATGTATTTTCTCTTCACCCAGAATTACATATTCTCTGAGTTTAAATAAATTAGCATCATTAGTGTTATACATTTAAAATGAAATTCTACTTAATATATTACTCAGTCGCATTTCTTCTCTTATTTTTCTAGAAATCACCTCTCTCAATACTTTATCTTTCCAGGTTCTTTTGAATACTTTTATGTGTGTTGCATCTATTAATGACATAATTCTTTCCATGTGCCTATTTGTGTATCATTTTTGAAGAAATGCTTGTTTGAATGCCTGCCCATTATGAGGAAACAGTAATTAATCTTTCAAAATTAACAACCTTATTAATCCGTGGAGAATTTAAAACAAAATATCTTGATCTTATTTGCCTACCACTCCCTCACTCCTGTACCCTCATTTTTTTGTTTGTTTGTTTGTTTGCTTGCTTGTTTCTAGAAGAGCTCTTTATCAGCAGATGCCCTGGTCCTCTGGCTCTTACAATCTTTCTGCCCCATCTCCCTAGGTGTTCCCTGAGCTTTAAATATCGAGATTGTGTTGTAAATATATTTGTTTATATGAAATTACATACATGTTAATTAACAAATTTATTAATTGTGGTAGGGACCATAATTCATCTTTTTTTTTTTTGGTTTTTATGAGACAGGGTTTCTCTGTATTGTTTTGGAGGCTGTCGGTCCAGCCTGGCCTCGAACTCACAGAGAACTGCCTGCCTCTGCCTCCCGAGTGCTGGGATTAAAGGCGTGCGCCACCACCGCCTGGCATAATTCATCTTTTTTGAGTTACAAATATTCATATATATTCTAGACAAAAGCTCCACATCAGCTATATGATTTCCAATTTTTATTTACATTTTTAGGTTGTATTTTACTTCACTGCAGTGTATTTATGAATTTGTTACTTACAGTATCTATATGTTTTCTCAAAAATTTTCATTTTCCAAAATTGTCTCAGCATTATCTCCTGTGCAGATAGTAGGCTGAGCATACTGAATGGTGCCTTATGCACATTGAATTCTCTTCATCCTGAACTAATACATTGTTCACAAAAGCATGACCTCCCCTTGTTCATCTCAGTGGACTCTCCAGTGAAAACTGAGTTGTGATTAAGCAAAGAAAGCATTTCTCTCTCTCTCTTTCTTCTTCTTCTTCTTCTTCTTCTTTTTTTTTTTTTTTTTTTTGGGCTTTTTGAGACTGGATTTCTCTGTGGCTTTTGGAGGCTGTCCTGGAACTAGCTCTTGTAGACCAGTCTGGTCTCAAACTCACAGAGATCTGCCTGCCTCTGAGTGTTGGAATTAAAGGCTAAAGAAAGCATTTCTATATAGAGTTTAAATGTAATAGCAGAAAGCTATTTAAAAAAAAAGCACCCGGCTATCAGATAATGCCATTCTGACTAACATCTGAGCACATAAACAACGGTCTATGAAGCATAGAATGAAGGAGCAAGTGATATGTTTAATATTTACAATGTGCCTTTTCTTTGTTTTGATATGTTCAGATATGCAAATCCTTACCAGTGTGTTATAGTTGCTTGCAGGATTCAGTGTGATAACATACCCTACAAGTTTATATTTTAGGTCTTGTTGTGGCTTTCCCACTGAGACTTGTGGATATTCACTGAGTAAGTGTCACTGTGACAAAATTACCTAAGGACACATTGCTCAGACTGTATCCCCGTGCTTATGTGACATTAACTGATTTTCAGAGTACTAACCGATGGACGACCTTTGCATTCAGAAGTAGCAAGGTTTCTGTTTAACTCAACCACCTTCCCTTTTCTTTTTCTCCTCCTCCTTTATTTTCATCTCTCCTTTCCCATTTTTATTTCAGATTGAAAATGGCTCAGGCATCTGTCAGCAAATTGACATCAGAGAAGAAAGTAGAAACAAAGAAAATTAATCCCACTGCTAGTCTGGTAAGCCACACTTTTCACCATAACCTATAGGTTTTTCATCATATCTGGGGTACACTCCCAAGAGTATGTGAATTTGAAGGACAAAATTCAGGAAAGAAATGGGGGTGTTGGTATCCTTCCTCCCATCTTAAATACTACGTGGTTTAAAAACAAAACCAGATATAAGAGGCAAAGCATGCTTTCATGTGTTCCCACTGCAAACCCAACAGAGATCACCTGTGATAAAGCAAATTGTGTCTCCTGCCATTTCATATCCATCTCCAATTCACTCCCTCTTGTTTCCAGGGGCCTTCCTCCTAAAAGGCCCCTGAGTATCCCCATCCTTCTTCTCATTAACAAAGGAGGAAATGTTCCCTAGGAGTTGTCAAGAAAGTTGAGATGCAAAAATGTACAGTCTGCCTAATGTCAGTTGGCAAATGTATGACAAGAAGCCTGACCAGAGGGGAGCAGTGATCTCTTCACATTTCTTCCTTATATTGGAAACCAGCCAGTGTCTTTATGCTGTCCTAAATTTGAGAAAGTCGTCGTCCAGAGTCCAGTGTTCAGAAGAGGTCACAATGACTCCCCACCTGTGTGCCACACACTGTCTCAGTTCCCTTCCCTGTTGCTGTGACAATATACCCCCAACAAAAGCAGCTTAAAGGAAAAAGAGGCTTTGTTTTAGCTCACGGTTTGACGTTATCGTCCCTCATGGTAGTGAAGTCACAGAAGCAGGAGCTCAGGGCATCTGATTAGATTACATTATACCCACAGTCCAGACACAGAGAGCAGTGACCACTAATGCTCACCTCACTGTCTTACATAATCCAGGATCCCATCCCAGGGAATGGTGCTACCCATGGTGGGCAGATCTTCCTACCTCAGTTATCTGAATCAAGATATGTCACAGGTGTGCCCAGGGCTAAATAAACCCTCTCAGATGTGCCAGCAGGCTTGGCTCTCAGGTGATTTCAGACCATGTCAAGTTGAAAACTACCATTAACCATTGTGCAGACATTAGTCAGCATTGCTGCGTGATTAGGAACCCAGGGTTACTGGGAAGGAGACAACAAGAGGTTTAAACCTCAGCATTACCATAAGACCTTAGTAAGGTTACTTTGCTTCGTTCTCCTAAGGGAAAGAGGGCAATGATGATACCACCTTATTTTGAGGAAACTGAGAAAAGGCATGTAGACTACCAGTTACATAATGGAGGCTCAATAAATACTAGCTACTGCTCTTACTTCCAGCAGGCGTAGACCTGTGATGAGGAACAGCAATGGTGGGGCAGTGGGAATATCTTCCTCCATGCTTGTGGTCGGTTGATAGAATCAGGTAACTGTGGAGTCTAAGGGGAAAAATGGTAGAAATACTTTAATTTCCAGGGTATTTAGTACGATTATACTCCACCAGTTAAGATCAGAATTTGGGAAAGTTACCAAAACTTGAGAAAGAAAATGCTTAAAAGGTAGAAATGACAATGGATCTGCTTTCTTCTTAAACAACAGAAAGAACGACTTCGCCAGAAGGAAGCTAGTGTGGCCACCAGCTAAGATGGAAACAGAAGGAAATTACAGTGCGAGAGGAGGCGGCCCAATGCTCCTCTAGACAAAAGTGCCATGGGGAGTTCCTGACAGATCTGTTACAGAACATTCGCTTTGCTTATCTCCTTCTGAGGTCGTCTGCACAGAGTGTCCTGGGCCTTCTTGGAGAAGTCCCTTGTTAATTCACAGGAACAGTGCAATGCTAAATGGGTAAATTACAGGAATATTTAATTGTTTCTTAAAGGAGTCCAAAGTCCACCCTATAAAAGAGTCAGGAAATACACCAAATTTTTTCACATTTTGCTTTATGCTGAAATTCTAAGCTTTCCAATGTATCTAAGCTTTCCAATGTATAGCCATCATCATGTTACAAAAGAGGTACATCTTTTATGGCAATGGCCTTGAGGGAACTCAAGCCTTTTACCTTACACACTATATATTTTTTTATTGGTATTAATCTTGTTCAAGTTGTACCACGCTCCTATGGCATTTTCATCAAAAATGTTGAAACTTACCAGAACTGCTTTTAGAGATTTAATACTACGTATCTCCCAGCCTAGGGAAATACTTTTTGATGATGACAATGATAATATAATGAAAAGGAAAGAAATTGAAATTTCACATGGGTGGAGAGAGAGAAAAATAACTATAAACCTCATCTTGGAGACTAGGTTAGGATGTTGGGAGTGAACATTAACCGTTGAGATAGGCCTACTCAGTTAACATGACTTCCTATCCAGTAGAGATTCTGTACCAATTTTTGGTATAAACAAGGCAGGACAAAGAACCATGTGGCTTCAAATCTGTTGTGGGCAGCAAATGACTGCTGTGCAGACTTGCAGGTGAGGTCTACATCGTATCCCGCCACTTGCAAATGACTGCCATGCAGACCTGAAGGTGAGGTCTACATCGTATCCCGCCACTTGTAGCTTGGTCCTTTCCACCACTCCCAGAAGTTTCCAGACAGGAGAGCAAACGCTGCTGCCTACCTTTTATCATGACCTGGACTCGTAAGCATGTGAAGGAAAGCAGCCAGTTTGCTGCCTAAAAACAGGATCAGAAGAAAATTGTTCTTTACAATAAGGTGAAAACAGGGTGGTTGTGTTAGTACTGACCTCTGAATGGACTGTCAGGGACAGATTGTGTTTTCTAACTCTGGTCCTTAAACCACGGAGAAAAAAAACCCCTGGGACATTTCCCCCGACATTTTTCTCCCTAAGCCACACTGCTTGAGCTTCCCTGGGGAGAAAACAAGGAAGAGGACCGGGCTTGAGCTGAGGACTGTGTTGAAGACTGTGTTTTGAAGCCTTGATGTAAGGAAGGACTGTGCTTTCTTCTCTCGCTGGTGGAGACAGTCTAGAGCTACTCAGAATCTTGCACCTCTTGTGATCTGGCTACCTCTGGCTGCCACGTGGGGCCTGCTTCTTGCCCCAGCAACTTTCTAGAACCTTTGAACTTGCCAGATACCTTAAGTGTCTTCCTGGAATCTGCCTGCCAGTCATCAGCCCCCACCCTGACTCAGGGACACTCTGCTAATAGATGCAAGCTTATGAAAGCCGTACCATACATAGTCAGATACAATGCAAACCTTGTGAAGCACGAGGGACTGGCATCTACTAAGTCACAGATGCCATTTCCATGCAGGTGCTAATTGTCTTTCAATGGCCCAAAGGAAGGAACATGGTCAGTTGGTTTATTTTAATCAAAATGAAGGGATGAGACTAAATAAACAATCAAATAAGAAACTTAATGTGGTTAGGATGCCTTGGCATCACTGTTTTTGTTTTATTGTTGCTTTTTATGAACTGTTTCTCTTTATTGTCACTGTAACTATGAAGAAGAGCAAGGAACTTGACTATCAAGGCAAATTCCACTTGCAGACATCCTGTACTCCATGGTGCCCCTGTTAGTATTGAAGTGCAAAAGAAAAGTGTGATTCTGTCTATAACACAGGCATCATGTCGGCATTCTGTGAGGTCTGCACAGGCCACCTTTACATGGGATGATTGAGAACAGGAGGCTTTCAGTGGGGGTTGATGCCACCTCAGGTCTCTAAGTAAGGTGTTCATGACATCACTGTCTCTCTGTCCTTCAAGAACACATCAGATCCTACAGGCTGCTGGGAAGCAGATCATACTATTGGGGATGAGGGGGTCAACTTTTTATTTCCTCATATCCTAACTCTATTTTGTAGTACTAACCCCCCATTTAAAAAGTCAAAGATAAAACCAGCTGGGGTAAGGGTGGTGCAGAGATGGTTCAGGAGTTGAGAGCAGCACATACTGTTTTCATAAATGGCCTGAGTTTGGATCCCGTTGCACATGCAGGGTGGCTCACAATCGCCATTACTGTCTTGAGAATCAGACATCCTCTCTGTCCTCTGTGGACAGAATACACAGTCATACACATACCCACACGCAGACATACATACATGCACATAATGCACATAATTAGAAAATAAAAATAAATCTTAAAAAAATAAGTGGGGACATGATATGGCAAGATAAATAAAAAATAGAAAAGTATACTTTTTTCCCCAAATATCTCATTTTACAAAGTAGTTTAAATTGTGTTAGAAATCACTAGTATGTTTTTCCTTGATTTTCATTTTCATTTTACTTTACCTGTAATTATCAAGGGAAAAACATAGCAAAAGATGATGGGAAACATATACTTCCACAGATTTGTAAATGTAGACATAAGTTTATTATTGAATCACAAAAACAGGGGCATTCTATGAAATTTGAAGTGTAGGAGTCCTAACTAAGTGTATGTGAAGTTGAATGACTGTGATGGCTTCTGGGCGACAACAAAACTGCCAGCCGTCTGCCTGAGACCGCAGCTTACATCAGGCCATTCCTACTACGAATTTCTAAGAGTCCAGGGTTGTCTTGGGAAACTTAATCTGGAAAAAGCCATGTAGAGGCCACATAGAGAAAGACATGGCATTCTAGAGTTGGATGTGTCTATGTCCTTCCTCTGAATTCTCCTATGGGGAGTTTAGAAGGGAGTGTACTATCAGAAGACCATGAATACCACAATTCATTGTTTAACTACTCTGGCTTGAGGGACCCTGCAGGTAAATAGCATGACCTGGATAAAGCAATAAACTGTCACCCATGTCAACTACTTCAACCGAATAAGGAAATCTACAATGCAGGTGAAACAAGTCTCTTTCCAAACTGATAGGATTGAAAAAAAATTTACTCTCAGAAAAAGGCAGATAATATCGGCTGCTAGCTGTAGAAAGCTGCTTAGAAGCTATGACTGATACAGAATTGACTTAAAGAAAAGCACCCCCAAAACTCAACTCAGCAGCCCCTTCCCTTTACACTTACACAAGTGTTCTTAATGTTGGTGGCATTGAATCCAGGCACAACCAGGCTCAGTGACACAGCTGTGTGTTACCAAGAGGCACATTTTGTGTCATTCCTGCTTCCCGTCAGCTGTTGACACCTTCTAAAGAACCCTCATGAATTTCATCATTCTTCACTCCCCCTCCACAAGAATGGGCAATCTACCAGACTCCATCAAGATAATGCTTTCTGGGGAAGTGATGAATTTAAAAGTTTCAGCACATTTCCCATGAAGCCAGCTCAGGAGCCTCGTCCGTTCCAGCGCAATGCCTTGTATCACATTTGGGGAATTTGAATACTTAACAGCTTACTTGGATACATGGAGACGTTAAAACGGTGACGCACTGACTGTGTCTCTTCAGCTGTCAGGTCTCTACCAAAAGAATAACTAGAAAAGCAAAAGAAGCCATATGCTGCACTCAAGTGAATCTGTCTACCTCCATCTACACTCTATCTCTGCCATTCTCCAAACACCCTAGAGATGACCATTGCCATTGAGGCCTTTTATTCACTGCTATTCACTGCTGTTTTCTTTCCTTCGATCTGTGGCTCACAGGAAGCCTGTGCTTTATTCCACATTGTCACCAACTTCAGTTATTTGTTCCTTTGTTTTGTTTACTTAAGGAACAGATTAAACCTACATACTCAATACACTACATACCTCATACATACTACAAACTCCACCCATCCTCAGAAAATTTCCTGACTTTTAGTCCTATGTATACAAGGAATCCCCTGGAGGCTGATCCAACTACTTCCATGGTTCCATGGTATTTTTCATAGTTCCTGTGAAACATGACAGCCCTGGACTGTCAAAACACAAATGAATCAGTAGGCTCAGGCAGAAATGAACATCTCAACAATTCGACAGGGAGTAAACAGGCTCTACAACCTTAGGCTTATAAGCTAGGCTGGGGGTTACCCTAGGGACATCTTGTGTTCTCCTCCTCTGAAGCCATAAAAAAGTGTCTTAGAGAGAATTCTCATCCCATAAATAGTGTGAGTTTCCAATGAGTTGTGTTTGTATCAAGTAAGAAATCAAGTGTATATCAGAAGCTGTTTGCCAAAGTCATGCCTGCTCCCCTCCACTGTTCTCTTCCAGGGTTTTCTTCAACTTCCATCTTATAAAGCAAGGTTTTTTTTTCATTGTTCACCTAAGTTGGTTTCCCAAGTTGATATTTCTCAAACAAAATCCCAGCCCTTTAGACCACTGAGCACTGAGGAAAGTTACTCTGCCTCACCATAGCATAGCTGGTAGATGTTCAGAAATGAGCAATTCTGGGAATTCATGGGATAGATTTTAATTCTAGTTTCTAACTATAAGGTGTGAAAAAGAGCATACAGGCATACACAAATTGTACTGCTCTTCCACTGAAGGGCCAAAAATCATTTACAATATTTATATTGTAGGTACGTTTTGTGAACTACAAATACCTTTTTTTCCTCTTTAAGAGGGATGTGCTTATTTCTATGTTACATGTATGAGTGTTTGTCTACATGTGTGTACCACCTGTGTTCCTGGTGCCTGCAGAAGCTAAAAAGAAGCTGTTAGATCCCCCTGGAACTGGAGTGACAGACAGTTGTGAGCCACTGTAAGAACAGCAAATGCTGTTAACTGTTTCTCCAGACCTGCTTTCCTATCGGCTCTTTATAGATATAAACTAAACTTTTCATATCTGACCATCAGTCTCGCTAGTGGTTCTGCTCAGAGCTTGAAGGCATTCACTACTGTTGGAAACAAATTCATGAGCGAAGAAGAAAGTCTTGAAGTGATTCTGTCTGCAGTGATTTAAATAGGATTTGTGGGGTCTACCAAAGGCACAGGTTTCTTCTAAAATCATTAATGTTATAATTCTACTCTTTTACAACTTCCTGAGACACAAATACCGTGCTCCTACTGTCCCACTGACCACTGGGTGTGTAATCTTTGAGGAATGTGTGATTTAAGGAAAAAGGATTTTTCCTTCAAGGGAACAATCTAAGATACTCTCTGAAAGGCAGAAAGTTTACAAATTAGACACTGGATAATTTTTTAAGAACCTTTAGTGGAAGCGTGTCATCCATTCATCACAGTCTTTTTCTGCCTTTGAATTACATTCCAGACTAGTGTGGGAAGCAGTCTCGCTGGACTTGGATTTAGCGATCATGTTTTTGCCTGGAAAATAAGCATTGGCCTGCACATCTAGAAACCCTCTGAAATCAGTTAGCATCCTAATATGAGTCATATGCTACAGAAATGTAAGTCACTTGAACTCATTTATGGACTGGCTTGGTTTGGTTTCATTTTCTTAGCACCACCTGGGATCGTGGAGCCTGCTTCCTAAGATTCACATGACATTGCAGTGTCTCCTTTCTACCTTCGGAGATCTCAAGCAGGAAACCCAGGAAACAAGGGAGAAGAAAAAGTTAACATATCCCGTGCAGTGTTTCTGCCAGCCTTGTCATGAGACTACCAGAGACAGCTTTTTAATAGAAGTTTAGGTCATTTGTATTAGGCAGATAGGAGTGTATCGTGTTGTTATAGCTCAGTGATAGACTTTGTGCTGAAAAAGCAGGTACTCCAATGAAACTGGCCCGTGTTTAGGTTAGTAACTTCCAGCTTCAGCTTCTGCTACAAGTGTGGCTTGCCCAAGACCTTTCTGCTTTCTCTCTGCCTGCTCACAAGCCATCTCAGCAGCTAGCATCATCTCGCTTTCCTGCATCCCGTGCGTCGGCTTCGGCCTCCACTTCCCTCACACACCACAGCCCCTCTCTGCTGAAGGGACCTTTGCAGCTTCTCCTGGACCCAGCCGCTCTCTACCTCTACATTGTAGATACTGAATGTCCCTCAGGTCTCTCACACCCTGTGCTCCAGCATTCAGTGTTTGGACAGAGCACAAGTGTCACCAAGAAGCCAGTGTGAGACATACTGCTGAGATTGCCTCTTGTTAACGTCACCATCACTTCATCACTTAGGCAAAGAGGGGAAAATCCATAAAAGAGGTGGAAAATGCATTTCTTTCTTCATTTTGTTCTACTTTATTAAAAAGGTTGGGTGTTCTAGTTCTTGGTTTCTCACAGATTTTTAGATTATCTAATTAGAGAGCACTTTTGATCCATCACAGCAAATCACCGGCTATGACAAAGCGAAATCTTGGACTCTCAGCTTCCTGCGCCGCTGCACAAATTGGCCTCTGTGCAAACATTTTGAATCCTAAGATTTCTTACTGCCACTCCATTCTTACCACTGCTCATGACTCAAGCATCTACCACAATCTGAACTGAGATGTTGACATTTTGTGGTTACTTTCAGACTAACAGTAATTGTCATGCTCTCAAAAGCTCTCAGAGAGAGTGTAAGCATGCCCTACATAGATGACTACTTTGCCATAGTATTCAAATAGTAGACCCGTTCGTGAGGTCTAACTTTAAGGAATTTTAACCAATCACATAAAGACTGCTTTGGAAAGGACACGGTACTTCAAAGACATGAAACTTTATATTTCATGCTCTTGGATGTTTTTAAGCATAATAAGCTACCTGGATTTGGGTACTTTCCCTTTAAGTTAAAAATAATCTGTATTTGTAATTGCATATTTAATTTTGTCAACCAACACTGAGAAATGCTCATGGGTTGAATCTGTAAATGTAATTTGCAACCAAATGAAGTATTTATTTTTAAAAAAGAAAAGGTGAAGGAACCAATATTGACTTGTACATAATGAAAATATGTGTATATATATTTTTCCTTCTTGATATTACTTGATTATTATGTCAAGTGTATTTTTGTACATAATATATATTGGTTAGAAAAATTTAGACTGTCTATTGAAAGAAATTCTATCTCTGTGATAAATTATATTTATCCTAATCTATTGATATTAAGTCGATTTGTTTTAAGAGACAGAACGCTATTTTTTTGAATTTCCAGATAATTGCATTGACTGCACTACTTGTGAATACATTAACGGTATTTTAATAAATCTTGGTTTCATGCCCATCTGTTGTGTGATGAAGATTTTGTTTCCATAGCCATTTGATGTGGTCACAACTTGCGTTACTGCTCATTTCTAGTAATTCTACTGGAAGTAGAGTTGCAAGATCTAGGTCTCAGTAAGTCCATCATATAGCATCCCTTTCTCCCAATCCACCTAATAAATAATGGGAAATCCAAGTAGGCCTTATCCCAAACAGTTCCACTAGAATATAAATTTCTGAAGGAGGGGACACACAGGGATTGGAGATTTCAAGTTACAGGTAGAAAATTATATACTAGGGAAATGTAACAAAATATCATTACATGTGTTCTGGCATCAAGCAGAGGTACATTTTTTTGTTTGTTCATGCAATATTTTTAAGTAACATAAAATCCCACAGTTTACATCAAAAACACTTCTCTAGTAATTGTAATTTTTCTGATAAATTCACTTGTTCAATGTTACAGTTTTTATGTTTGTCAGACAATGCCACTTTATATGCCATGACATAAATCCACAGATATTAAGATACTTTGTGACTAGAGCATCTTCTAAATTAGAGTCACTGAGCTGTGGAATTCTTGAGACACTGGAGAAAAATCTATGTCTAGAAAACCACTGAAGTTCCGTGGACTCGCTGAAAACTACACTCAGAGTATGAAATATATCAAGGCTGAATCTTTATCTCTTGATAATGAAACCAAAGCCCTCTGACTGCTTGTCTTCTTCATCATATTGAAATCTTTTCAAGATTTATCCTCATTATCCAATGAGGAATGGTAAGAAAAAGTAACAATAGTAGTTATTAACTGCTGCATAACAAAAATTAAAACACAACCAATCATTTCTTGTTTTTCGTGGCATTTGATGGTCAAGAACTTGGGAAGTGCAAGCTTAAATGCCTGGAGTCTCTAGTCTTTCATTGGTTGTAGTATTTGCTGTAACAACTGGATTTGTCATCACCTGAATGGCCAGAGAAGAGCTTCAAGATGCACTTCCATGGTGGACAAAGTGGCTGGCAAGGTGCTATTGGCTGTCAGCTGCGGGTCTATTCCTTTCCATGTGGGCCTTTTGAATGCTTTACCATAAATAATACTTTTATTGCTATTTTTACCAAAGCTAGGAAATCAATCGCAGCCAGACATCATATTTCAGTAGCTGAGGAACTTAGAACAGCCTCCCCAGGATCCTTCTTCTTCATGGAGCTTGTTCTGCATCACAACATGAGGGCATGTGGATACAGTCTGTTACAATGCACCGCATCATGAGGACATGAGAATACAGTCTATCACAATGCACCACACTGAGAGGACATGTGAATACAATCTATCACATGGCTTACCCTGCTCTGGGCAGTTGTCTTTTCCTGATCATTTTTTTTTTTCTGTCCTAACACTAAGTTTGATTTTTTTCTTCAGCTGTTTCCTCCTCCTCCTCCTTCTTTTCAAATATCCCTTCCTTTTACTGTGTATCAGAATAAAAAGTTTGTCTTACTAGTCTTTATCTTTTTTAAAGTGAGATATATCTTGAGATTTCAAAATAAATACTGTAGGAAAAAAGGAAAAAGACTGTAGGACTTTACGTCAAAATCCTACACCTGAAATTCTCATCAGCCAGTAAAAAGGAATAATGATCCACACTGATGCTGTTTAGTCAGTAACTAAATGAAACTTTCTCAGGATCTTATAAAATGGCTCTCTCGTTGACTTTGATAATATATGTATGTGTGCATATGATACAATATTATTAAGCTTTTAGAAGGAAATTTCTCTACTACATCAAACATGAACCTTGAATATAAGATGCTAAGTGAAATAAGCCAACCACAATTTCACAGTGGAAGAAAAAAATAATTGTTCTTAGGAGATATGAGACAGAGGAGATAAGGTTCTTATTATTTAATGGATATGGTTTAAGTTTGAAAAGATTAAAAAACAATGTGAATGTGTTTAATGCTACATAATTTTAAATGATTAAAGTGATGCTTTATATATACTAAATAATAAAAACTTCACAATATATGTTTCATTAAAAACTGGGAAGATGACTTCATTAGTAAAGATATTTGCTACCTAGCCTAATTATCTGAATTCAGTCCCTGGGACCAAACGATGAGAGGAGAGAACTGACTCCCACAAGCTACCCTCTGATCTCCATACTCAAACTATGGCATGTGCACACTCACACACACACACACACACACATTAGTAAATTTTTTTCAAAACAACTGTGTGCCTGGGACTATGAGCATTTTGTATTCATTACTATGTTTAGTACTTCAGGTAAAGATTATTACTATCCCCATTTTACAGAGAAAAATGAATATTGGAGTTACTGACAACTAGCCCATGTGGCTAGTGAGTGGACAAAACATAAGTCAAATATTTCAAAGAAGGAATGTCAGCCACCAGTGTGCCTCTGAGACTGCCAAAATGGCATTTTCTGGTTCTGGAGATAAAAGGGATTGGTAGACAATGGTCATAAAGTCTTGAAAATCGTCTAATAATTTTTTAGAGATATTAAAGTTTGACATCTAACAAGTTATTTTATTTTCATACATTATTGATCCTTCCAGTCACAGTATGCTTTTTATCAAATAGCCAATCCAAGAAAACTGGTGATACCAGCATTTCTGTATAAGTCTAAACAAATGATCACAATACAGCTCTGTGTGTATGTGTCCTCCAGAGACAGGTCATGTGCTCGTGCAGAATTGCTTCTTTCCACTGGTGAGGCGAAACAGTGTAGGTAAGGCTGAGAACCATGGGAGGGTCTATCTTTGAGTTGCTATCCTGACATAACCACTTAGGGAAGCAGCCTGGAAACGTAGCCAGCAAGGTAAAGGACACCTTTCTCACACACACACAAACAACGAATGTATAAAGAAAAAAATTGAATCATGTAGTCTTAGAAATTTCCAGAAGTACCTTTCAACATTGTGACCCTGTCTACTGCTTGACCAAAATGCCACCGAGTTTGGCCTTGTTCAGGGTCACAATGGTGATATTTCCTGCTAAAGCTTTTCTGTGGAAACATTTTTATTGTTAGTGTAAGAACGACAATATACAGTTGTATTCAATTTGTGAAAACATATTTATTGCACTTCATTTGCTTATTGGGAAGGAGGGCGGGTGTGCTAATGCTGCAGTACATGTGTGGGGGAATTGGTTTTCTCTTTCCACTGCGTGGGTCCTAATGATCCAGCTCAGGTCTTCAGGATTGGTTGCAAGTATCTTTACCCTCTGAGCCAACTTACCAGCATGTATTCAATTTTGTTATGCTGCCAAGAACCAAAAGCAAATCAAAAGAGAAAAATGCTTCAAGAAAAAAATATTGTCCTCTCGTCTTTCATGTTCTAGAAGACATCAGAGTTCCTAAGTTATTAGTGAGAAGATTCGGGGAGGAAGGTGCTTCATGCACACGTCTGGTGACCTGACTTTTATCTGTGAAACCAGATAAAAGAGGAAAGAGAAAACGTACTCCAAAAGTTGTTTTCTGACCTCCGTATATGTGCCATTAACACATTATTGTAAACATACATCCAGGCTGATGCACACACACACATACACACACTAAGAATAATTTTTAAAAGAATTCCCAAATTATCTAAGCACTTTATGTAGTCTTCCAGTGTCCAGTGTAGTTGCAAAGAAGCTGAAACTGGAATGTAAAACTTAAGAAAAGTGGGCAAAAGACACTGAGGCCCAGACTCCATTACTTATGATAAGACACTAAGGAATCAAAAGGCATGAAAAAAACTATACACATGCATACTCTTTATCGCTGCAAAACTTAGATTGCCTGCTGAGGACACCGCAATTCAAAGTAGCACACATGCAGTGAAGCTCATTACCAGAGGCCCTGTCATGAAACTACAGCAGCTGGACTGTCCATGAGAGTAGCCTGAGAATCAACACTACAGACTATAAAGAACAACTTATTGAGAGCATAAAGCAATTTCGTTTCGCTTACAACATAGCCTCAACATAACTGAAAGAAAACATTCAACTATAATGATAAAAAGCAGAATCCATAAACACCATGGAGAAATTTCTATGGTTATGGTTAGAGATGATGAGAGCAACACGAAGTAACCTCAACATGTCCAGGAGACAGCACTAACAACCTCTAAACAAACAGAAAGCATTTATAAACTTTAACTACTGATTAGGCTGTGATGAAAGTCTTACCAGATTTAATAGAATCAGATATAAATGCAGGCATTGCACTAAAAACAAGGCAACTCAACTGAAAAGAAATGATCTTTTAGACTTAGAAACATGGATGTTGTGGAAATTAATAATTCAGTTCTAAAAAAAATAAATCATGATGAGAATTAAAAAATATTTTGATCTTAGTGATTTATATTTCATGGAAAAGATTATAGAAGTGAGCAAAAAACCCCACTGAAATATTCAAGGGGAAATTTGTAGTAATAAATATACAATTACAAAAGAAGGCTTGATATTAGTAGCTGACATTCATCTTAGGAAACAAGAAAATAACAGTAAATAAATTCTCAGAAAGTAAAATAGAGAAACAATTGAAAATCAAAATAAATTCTTGAAACCTCAAGTTGATTCTTTCAAAAGGAATAATACAGGGTTGGAAATGTAGCTCAATGATAGAATGCTTGCCTAGCATGCGTCAGGGCCTAAATTCAGTCTGCAGGGCATCAAAACAGGAGGGAGGGAGGCAGGAACAAATGAAGGAAGGGAGAAAGGAGGAAGGAAGGAAGGAAGGAAGGAAGGAAGGAAGGAAGGAAGGAAGGAAGGAAGGAAGGAAGGACAGACAGATGGACGGACAGAAGGAAGGAAGGAAGAAAATTACTTTTTAAACTTTTGGCAAGACTGAATCAATACTAGCAGGAAAGAGTTAACCAGAAACAAAGAAGATTGCCTGTTGAACAGTATTGGACAGTAAGAAATGATGATATTTTTAAATACTTTAAGCCAATTTTTACATTGCAAAATATAAAAGACATGAGAAAAAATTTAGAAACAACAAAAACTATTAAAGAAAT